TGCATGTCAAGTATACGAATATTCTTTGGGTTAGGCCTCGTACAATTCTAAATACCCAGCAGTATATTTTTAAGATTTGTAGCTTATCCCTGATTTATGATAGCTTATGATAAAAAAAGGAACCATTCCAAACTTAATCCTATGAACTATATGTGCAAAAAGGTTTGTTTGTCTTTGCTGGAGTGCTAAAGTCACAGATGCAGACGCTGAATTAGGTTTGTTTTGAATCAGCCAGCGTCAGATATCAAGAAATATTAAAACTGTCATAAAGAAATTCTTAAAGCTTTTTATTCATTCTTCATTGATTTGCACATATAAAACTTCCAAATATTAGGGGATAAAGATAAAAAAGAAACTGAAGAGCTATAAAAGTATGGACTGCTACTGACATGTAATTATATGAAACCTTAAACTAAAATGTATCAACTACATCTCTTATTTTGTAAAGTTATTTGGCCTCACAACTTTTCTACCTTCATAAATAAGATAACACTGTTCCTTATCATAAAAAAACTTTATCTCTTAAGATGTAACAAATAAATTAAATACTTCGAATTTTGTTAATTAACACTATCACTATCAACACTATCCCTAATTTTACGATTATTTTAATCCCATAATCCCATACGGAATTACTGATATGAGGGAATCAAGTGATTGGAAAAGCTATTTCTTGTATACAACAACAACAAAATAACTTTAAATATAATGTAATTATACATGGGATAAAGATATCCCTTCTTCACAAAGTCCTAAAACAAGGGAACTGCCTTATAATAATCATAATAATAAAAAACAGTTGTTTACACCCATACACGTCATTAGACCAATGAACCCCATATCTTGTTTCAAGGCTGAATGTGCCCAAATGCGTCAGAAATAAATGAAATATATTACCTTAACTGACGAAGAGTAAATGACCAACGTCAGATAAGTGAATGATATAAAATAGTACGTAAAGGAAAGGATTTCTTATCTCAAAACACGAATCACGATGACAGTGCACTGTGCCGGCAACGCCTTCATTTCCACGCTATTATATTGAGATTTACTAAAGTATTTCCCAAAGAAATGTATTTGACAGTGATTATACGCTAATTCTTATTAGTGATTCATACAAACTTGTAATTCGTACATATATTCTATACTTTGAATCATATCGGCATGTTGGTTGTAAGACTTAGTGCAAGCAATTGTTTTGAAATATTTTGTCATAAGCTATATTGCTATATCAATGAGAATATATTCTATATTAGCTTTGTAATAATAATGATGGTGATGATAATAATGATAATCATAATGATAATAATGATGATAATCATAATGATAATAATAATGATAATCATAATGATAATAATAATGATAATCATAATGAGGATAATGACAATAATGATTATTAAAAATGATAATGATAATGATAGAAGTAATAATGACAACAATAATTTTGATAAGGCGAACTATCAATATTGTCATAATCATTGTAATAATAATAATAATAATAATAATAATGATAATACTTATCACTGGCATTGTTATAATTGTTATTAGTATCATCATCATTTTTAATCATTATTGTTACCATTTTATTATCATCGTTATATATAATGATAATAATTCTATTATCATTATCATTATTACTGTTATTATTCTCAACATACTGAATAATATTATTATTCATACTAATGATGATCATAATGATAATAATGTTAATAATAACAACAATAATCATCATCATTATTATCATTGTTATTAGAATACTGATAATAGTAATGTAAATACTTATAATAATGATAATGATAGTAATAATAATAATAATAATAATCATTATTATTATTATCTTTATTACTTTTAGCAATATGATTATTATTCTTACCGTCACCATTATCATTCTTATTTCTATTCTTACTATTGCTATTATTTTTAATATTATTATTACCATCGGCATCATAATTATTGTTTTTATTATCATTAATATTATTACTCTCATGATTATCATCGATATTATTACTATTATTATTACTATCATCATTGTCTTCATCATTAATATTATTATCGTTATTATAATCACCATTATCATCACCATCATTATTAATGTTTTTATTATTACTATTGTCATTATTGTTATCACTGCCATTATTATTATTAGCATTATCATTATTGTTATTAACATTATTATCATTGTTATTATACTCATTATCATTATTATTATCATCATTATTGTTACCATTATCATTACTGTTATTATCATTAACATGTTATTTTTATCATCATTATTATTGTCTTCATTATTATTATCACTGTTTTCAATACTATTATTGTCATCATATTTATCTTTATCTGTTATTACTATCATTATCTATATCATTATCATCTTGATTATTATCATCATTATAAGTGCTATTATCATCATTTATTTTATCATCGTTATCATTATCATTACTATCAATACTGTGACTTTTACGATTATAGTGGTGAACAGAATGATAATAATGATGATAATAATGATGATAATGGTATAACAACAATAATAATGATCATAAGGAAAATAATAATGTATTAATGATAATATAATAATAATAATGATAATAATAATAATAATAATAATAATAATAATAATAATACTAATAATAATAATAATAATAATAATAATAATAATGACAATGATGATAATGACAATGATGATAATGATACAGATAATAATGATAATAATAATAAAAGTTATGATAATGGTTATGATAATAGTAAGAGTGCTATCAATATTGATGATAATAATAATTATAATGATAATGATAATGACAATAATAACGATAATGAAAATAGTAAAGATAATGATAGTAGTGATAATGATAATGATGATAATAACAATGATGAAGATGATAACCAAAAATACAAAAACAATAATAATAATGATCATGATAATAATAACAACAGTAATAAAATAATATTAATAGTATCTATAATAATGAATAAATAAATAACAATAAGAGGGACAATATTAAGAATCTGACTTTTAATCATACAAATGACAATAATGAAAAAGATATTACTAATACGATAATACTGTTGTTTTTGATAGCTATAAAATGACAATGATTAAATCAAAACAAACAATGACAAAACATAAATACTAACAACAATGATGGCAACAATGACAATAAGAATAATAAAAAGTCATAACAATAATGACAACAGCGATAAGTTGTATTTCGATGTGTAATAACTAGTAATAGTAGCACTTAGCACTGAAGACATTTCTGAAGTGTTCAGTCCACTCCTCAAAGCACATTAAGTTACCTAAGTCAATATTTTTATCTTAATTATTATCTTGATAGAGATTAGGGCAGTAAAGCACATTTCTATATCAAAAGCAATGTGATGACAGGCCAGTGGCACAACCTAGATAAGTTAATAGGTCGTGTTTTTTTTTTTTTTTATTTCTTTTATTTTTATTTATTTTTTTGTATTCCTTGCAGTGAAGGGCGTCAGATCGGGATTTTTTCTGATACTGATAGACGTAGCAACAATGATAAGGGTAGTGATCATATTAACAGCGATGGTGATAATAGTAATCGTAATAAGAAGGAAAATAATAACGCTAATTATAATAATAATATTCATTATGACGATGATAATATCAAAATAGTATTGATGATAGTAGTAATAATGATGATAATATAATGATGGTATTAATGGTAATACTACTACTAACAAGGATGATGATAACAATTATGAAAAATAAGGATAATCTTAATAACAATACTTTATAATACAGTAACTTTAGAGTAATGATAGCAATAATGATACTTACAAAGATGATTATGATGGTGATAGCAATTATGAAAAATGAAAATAATGACAATAACAATCTCTTGTAATAATAACCTTTTAAGTTAACTTAATATCAAACAGTATTTACCAGTACAGAATTCACACACACACACAGTTACGCACACCCACATATACATTCTCACATACACATGCATACACATTATACAATCTCATTTTCTTTAATCATACCATGTGTTAGGGAGAAAGTTACTATACACTGATATACTTAAAATCATTATCTGTTAAAAATAATCATAACGCACGGCTTTTTTCATTGGGATTTACGCCTATCTATCAATATTCTGCAAAAATCTTTTAAAACTTTCTCTTTCCTCCAAGAACGTTACAATGCCTTTTAATCTGTCCTCAGTTGTTTTGTCGTTGGCCAGCATCTCGATCAGACTAACCGTATAAAACATGTAGCCATACATCCACATCTCTTCAACATTATTGACTAGATCTTGGAATGTTGCATCGACCGCAGAGCCGTTGGTACGAAGGGCTTGAGTCAGCGCTTGCCAGTAGCACTCCAAGACCTCCGTCAGGTGTCGGAGGAGGACCTCGGGGTGGCTACTGATTAACAGCATGGTCACGAGGTCGCACACTGGGTTGTCGACGCAGGCAAATTGCTAGTCGATGATTGCGGCGATAGTGTCGTCTGGCGAGAACAGGACGTTGCCCGCCCAGAGGTCGCCGTGAATCACCGTGTCGAGGAAGGGGCTTCGCATTTTAATGAGTTGTTCCGAAAGAGGTCGGATGGCTTTCAACGTCTGCTCTGTTGGTGTCCCTCGGAAGGTCTCCATTTGCCTCTCGAGACCCTCGCTGAAGAAATCCCCGAGAAAGTCGGCCGAAGGAACGTTAAAGAATTCCTTCTCGTGTTTCTTGAGAGACACGACTCCGCAGGCGTGTATGACGGCGACAGAGCGAAGCGTGGTTCGCTGTAGAAGATGATTTGGCGGATATCCACTCGAAAGCCATTTGCACTGAGGTCGTGCATTACAAGAGTGAGACGGTCGTCCTCCATGCACGACCAGTACACATCGGGGACTGGGTGCTTCAGGCCGGCCTTGTCACAGAACACCTGGAAGTCATCAGTAGCGACGAACTTATAAAACTCAATCGCCTTCCTCGCCAGACTACCACTTATCATAAAGTTAATCAGATGCTTGTCTCGTGGCATGAACTTGAATACTAATGACCTCTCCCTCAGCTGGTCACTGGAATCCCGGCACTCAACGCGAACGAAAGCAATTTCACTCAAGCATCCGTCTTTCACCTCTGGGACTCTCGCTGCCCAAGACGTAACACTTATGTCTCTTTTGAGTTTCATCATTAACAGTTTTTCAATCCAAGACGTAGACAGGTCTTGCTCAGACCGAAGTACCGTTAGCGGGCAACCCTTGTCCATATTGCAAGGGTATGGGACCACAACTGTCTGTAAGTAAAACAAATTCTTATTACAAAAATCTTTGAAATGAGTGGCTTGGTTATAATATTCGGAATTTTATTCGTGTTTCAGGTTAGAGAAGTATCTTATGTATACTTGTATTTATGCTTGTACGTATGAATGATATTACACACACACACACCACACACACACACACACACACACACACACACACACACACACACACACACACACACACACACACACACACACACACCACACACTTTTAATTCAAGGAAGAACAAAAACCAGCTGTGGTGTATGAGCAACCAAGTCGTATACGATATAGAGACTACCTAAAAGATAGAATTTATTGACTGCATCCAATTTTACTGTAAGACTTAAACCTAAATGTAAATCTGTCTCAATAAATGCATGGAGAAGAGACAAGAGACCAATTCAAAGTACGCATCGGGTATGAAATTAGCAACTCAATCCATAGAAAAGTTGTCTCAGATTTTGTGCCTTTCCTGCAGGATGTACAAAAGGAATACCTGTTGCAAAGTCAAAATCACTGGGACCTCAAAGAGATACGATAGGTTGGCTATGTTTGGGAAGGAAGAGGTGAGCTAACATATACATACTTAAATCTCTCTCTCTCTCTCTCTCTCTCTCTCTCTCTCTCTCTCTCTCTCTCTCTCTCTTCTCTCTATAAATAATATATATATATATATATATATATATATATATATACATACCATACATACATACAGAGAGAGAGAGGTATATGAGAGAGAGAGAGAGG